CCTTCTCCACCTAAGCTACACTCTTCAGTCATCGCCATCACCAATGAAAAAGCACAGTGCTCGCGCCGTAACCCGGTATAAAACGGAAAAGCAGTCCGCTCTGGCGCCTTGTCGTCTGCTATGGTCTCCCGCCGGGATTCCAAATCAAGAAGAAATAGAAGAATAAGAAGGATAAAAAGGTGGAAGGTAACAAATCTAGGGGAATCTTGCTTCTTTGGTAGAGGAACGGTCGCTGCCGATCGATAGGGGGTCGTGAATATATTTGATAGGATTTTCGGTGATCTTAGTTACCACCGGAAAACAATTAGCTCAACGCTTCGACGAAATATTATTTTCACGCCTTTGAGGGTTCAATGTTTCCCTCCCTTCTTCTCTCCTTTGCTTCAAATTTACACTTGACATCCATAGACGAGAGTGCTGGATTGTCCATGATAAAACCCTGAAAGAGTAGGGTGCGTTCAGTTCATGGTCAAACGTCTCCAAACAGTACCGACTTATCTTCGTCACCCTTCGTCAACATATCGGCAACATACGCCTTGGCCGTCACCGATCAAAAAACTATATCGAAATTCTTCGTGTTATCCAGCTTAATCTGAACGAATCTTCAAGACCTACTACGCGTTGGTCCCCGTTAAGACTAGATGCATTTGAGAAACCATCTCGCAATTGGAAAGAGATAATGTGACACTTTAGCTAGGATAGGTTTTCGTGAGCATGACTCATGCAAAAATGTTTTGATATGGACGAAACTTGCGAAGGTGTTATGATGTATCCTGTCAGTCGCAGCTGTCGAAAAACGTATCCCAAGTTAGGTTTTGGAATTTCTATTCTAGACATCTGCTTAGAGAGTGTATGTAAAAGAGAAAGCGCAATAGAGAGAGAGAGAGGGGGGGGGGGGGTGAAGAAAGGGAGGTAGCGGAGGGTGAGGTACCCTTGGTTCGCTGTATCTGCCTTTTTTCTCTCTTTTTAAATTTCCATAATGGTTCAACTCGCATAATACTAAGCTATCCGTTATTACGATTATTAACCTAATAAGACCAATTAATACTAATTAGTAAAAAAAAAAAAAAAGACCAATTGTCTCGCAACGACTTGACCCAATGACCTTGGCATCACTAGTCCAGTGCTCAAACCACTCGTCTCCTTTTTAAGTGCCGACAGTCCTCCCGCTTTGCTTCTTTGAAGTTAACACCGTCGAAAATATCCGATTAAAAATCGGAAAGATATATCCACATTGACAAATACTGAATTTTGAAATATTTTCATGTGTTTTCTCTCTTGTGTGCGGATAACTTTTGTTGAACCCCGGGGCAAAGGGAATTCACCCCTTCCCCAATTATTTGGTCAATTTGAGCTGCTGAAGAGCGTTTGAACGAGTCATCGAGGTAAGACCGTGAAACACAGGAACAGCGAGAATTCGAAATAGGAAGTAGTTTCGTCACTGTCAACACCAATTAATAATCGACATTCAGATAGATTGCTTTATAAAATATGGCGGAATAGCGAAACATCAGCAAAATTTCAAGAGAATGGGAGTCTGATTATCATTGTGCGAAATCTAACTACATATATATTCGAGTAAATTAAGCTACGTGTATACAAAACCAAATGAATTAGACGATCTAATGACATTAATGCACGTATTAGTAATTAAGAAAGTTTAGAAAATCAGTGAACGACTGATTACTTTTTAAAACTCATTCCTAGTATAAACTTACCCGTATCGGCCTGATTTTAAAATGCATAACTCAAAGTTAAATGCACATACATTTATGAAAATGAAATGCCAAAGATAAGCGTTTCAAAAAACCTAGGAACACCTTCAATGGACCTCATTTCTCCTTTCATCCATAGCAACGAACGCTTAGAAGGAATACATCAACGCGCATAGGGCTTGGGGAAATAAATAGAGCATGGTATCCCCTTAATCCGTCTTCGAGGACACCGTAGACAAAGCGGAGCGAGAGGGAGAAAACTTCAGTCGAAAAGTTTGTTTACTATTTGGCGGCGAGCTTCAGTGTCAAAAGATGAGGAGGGGGAAACGGAAGGACGGGTTGATGTCTCGAGAGAGATGAAGTGTTCTTGAAGAAAAAAGAGTAAGAAGGGGTAGAACAGGGAATGAGAGAGAAAGAGAGAGAGAGAGAGAGGGGAGAGAGAGGGGGAGGGGTGATGGGTAAAAGAGGGTGAAGTGGGGAGGGAGGGAACAGTCATAAATATAGATTGGAGAAGTTGAAAAAGAGTGCTAATAGAAAAGCAGCCAAATTTACAAGTATTCGAGTTCAAGTTCAAGTTTAACTTCCCATGCATCACCAACAAACAGCAATTCACATATTCTTATATGTTCTACTCTTTCACCTCCTTCTTGACTGCTTTATTCTCCTCACTCTTAATCTCGAACTTCCGACCCTATTTCCCCCTTTTTCCAAAATAACTTCATGTTTCCCCTAAAAAGCTCTCCTGAGGTGTTCCGTTATCTTATCACATTCCAAATCTATGTTCTTCAAAATGATAGCCCCGATCTAAATGTGCTATTCTTTTGTGTCATTACAAATTCTGACCAGAATTTTTTTTCTTAATTGAACCATTTAACTTTTGAGTTGCCACTTTCACGAGTTATCATGATAATGAACCGATACCAAGCGAAGTATTCGAAGCATAACTATTATGACAAAATATAGGTAATTAATGATTAATCATGTTCAGAATTGTAGGTCTCACGACCAGTGGCGTAGACAGGTTCGTACACCTGGGGGGGATGACTCAGGGGCGGATCTAGCTTTTTGCTAAGGGGGGGGGGGTTGACCAAAATAATGACGATGCGGAGCATCGTCCACGAGCCGCGAAGCGGCGAGCCGATTTTTTTTGGGGTGTTTATTTGAACCCCGTAAGTGATGTTTTCCTGGCATCTATTAACACAATGGAGACCATAAAAAGCAGTGCATGATAACGTCTTTTTAAATCAAGTAACAGTTAAATACCCAGTTATATCCAGAGTTATCATGTGTTTGGTTAAGTTACCAGATGAGTTGAATATCTTCTCACAATATTTGCACTTGAAAGGGTTTCTCTCCAGCGTGCGTTCTTTTTTTTTTTCTTTTTTCTTTCTTTTTTTTTTTTTTCCCTTTTTTTTAAATTTGTTTTTTTGGGCCGCCCAAGGGGGGGGGGTTTAAACCCCCTAAACCCCCCCCACCCCGTAGATCCGCGCCAGTTTAATCTTGTGGTTTCCAAACCACAAGATAACCACAAAATACTTGTAAGATTTTCTTTTTTTTACCGTCTGAATTGGCTTTCACCGTGTGAATGCGGCTAATAACAATAAACACAATAATGATGAGGATTATTATTATCATCATCATAATTATTATTAATATTAATATTATAATTGTTATCATTATTATTATTACTATTATAATCATCATTATGACTTAATAAGTAAGCAAATATCATTCCCCAAAACCTGGGGGGGATGATTGTACATGCCATCCCCCCCACCTTGTGAGGTGGGGGGGGGATGCATCCCCCTCATCCCCCCCGTTGTCTACGCCCCTGCTCACGACATTGGAATGAGCGGTTTAAGAGTCTTATACATCTGATGTTGTTGACCATTTTGGTGTACCTTGTCCTCCTTGACTCATGCAGAACGGTCAACCTGCTCAAAGTTTACGAGCATCTCAAAAGATGTTGCCCTCTTTTTTCTTAAAATCCTATCAAAGTCATTGATCGGCGGCTAAATCTCTTTGTTTAAGAGAAAGGTAGAGTTTATTGAGATCTCTTGTCCGGTCTAACAACACCGCAGCCGATGCATATAGCCCCACGCATGCCTGGACGCGTTGTAACAATAATACAATCGACGTTCAAAAACACGTACGTGTGAAAATCGGCCCAACTGTTCAAAGAACCGACGTGTCTATTGATTAGATCAAATTCTTTTATAATCGTTCGCATTTTTGACACTTCAGTATCGCTTTTGACTATTTATATTACCCGCTTTAAATACAATTGACTGATTGAATAGAACGAACTAACACAATTGATCGCCAAAGAATTACTATCGCCCGCGTGTTCCAAGTATCCCGCAAGCCGCAACGAATTCGATTGCTCTTGATGCCTTATTCAGCGCTTAATAACCCTAATCTCCGTTAAGCTGTTATTGATACCTGTAACCTATGTCTGCCCAATGTCATCAAGAATGACTAACGGAGAGGGAATCTCTTAACCCGCTTTTAGAGGTTATAATCTTGGATAACGATTGTTAAACTGTCATGTTGAAAGGCAAGTCTTTCAATGACTCACCCCAACTTGACCCGGAACCAGTATCTTCCTGTAAACTTGGAGGAACGAAGTAGAAAAACACCCCTGCTCATCAAGATGGTGCCATCTTAATTCTGCACCACGCCTTACTTTCACTATGACGAATGCAATCATGAAAATGCCTCGTCATTAGTATAGAATAATTCGCCTACTGTTCGATATTTCCAAGGTTCAATATTATTTATGATGATAATTATCAAACAACACCTTTAGTTTGGTTTAATGTTGCTCATGTCTCTGATCTTCATTATCATTTTGTTGAATCTACCTAGCTAAAAAACAAAGAAACATGCCAACAATTTACGAATTAAGCTCCTAGTATTTAATGTTAATGTCAAAGCTCTTGTTTCGAAATACCGTATTGAACTAATGAGAATAATCATGTTCGACTGCTGTAATCTATCCGAAATTTGTTATCTTGCTTATTGTTATCACGCAAAGGATACACAACTGTAATTTGGTCACATTTATACAAGTAAATGTCAAATGGCATCGTCAGTTTCTTGTATTTTTTCCCTTTATAAACTGTTAAAAACGCTGACTAAGTTTGCGTTGTAGGTTGAGAATTTAAAAAAAGAAGATCGATATGGATTTATCAAACCAGCACCATAGCAAAGAGAGCTGAACCACAATGTATAATAATAAATTTAACATTCTTTCCCCTTGTTTCTCTGTCTTTTTCTGATCAGGTTGTCGAGAAACATCATTCATCTACTCAATAACCAGCGCAGCAGTGACACACTCCGTAGCGAGGTCGTGTAGCGAAGGAACGATCGAGTCTTGCACGTGTGATTACAAGTTCCGTGGTGACAGCGGAAACGATTGGGAGTGGGGCGGCTGCAGTGACAACGCTGACTTCGGCCACCGATTCGGCAAGAAGTTCGTAGACTCGGGCGAGAAAGGACGAGATCTCAGACATGCTATGAACCTACATAATAACGAAGCAGGCAGAAAAGTAAGAATACTTAAAACAAAACTTTCAGTCTGTTGTATAAATAAACTTGACGATTTTGAAAGAGAAAATTATGATACAACCCCAAACTTTTCAAGACCATACGTGTCTAAAAAAGTAAAGACAGCAGGTTGATGAATATACAAAAATTGTACACAATAATGTAGAAAAATATCAAGTTGTTGCTTTATGATCATTATTGACTATTTTGAAGCCAAGTTTTGTTTTTTTGTCATGAAACTTGGAAATTTGAGGCAGCTAATAATTGAGATTTACGAGACTGCCTGAGGACAAAAAGCCTGATGGGTTCAATTTTGACTTTCATGACTATAATTTCAGACAAATATCATTATGTCAACATGGTAAAGTTTTAATGATTTGAAAACATGGGAGGTCGTATCTTATGTACCTTCTTGGATTTATGTTCAAAGTGCATCTACCATCTTTTCTTATTTTACTACCTCGTTCGTCTTACTGGGATGTCTACCAGCGAAAAAAGGAAATTAAAATGGATCTTGAAACTATTCTCATGAAATAAGAGGCAATTTGGCAAAATGAGAAAAAACCGCGCGGAACTTTACACAAAAGCGAACCCGTATTCCAAATTGACGGTGTTTACTAAGCGGCTATTGAGAAGAGAAATAGGCGAAGTGACTAAAGCAAATGGGACCGCTTTTGAAATGAAAACGCTCTTAAAACGGTGCTTCTTTTCACCCGTTTCTCCTTCAAGAGATCGTAAAATCCCTCTGAAGTCTGTGAGCATGCCGCCTCAGCTTCTTGAATGGCGCTTTAGTCGAAATGATTGGAACCGCATCCTGTGATTTGCTTCTTTATAGTTCTTCACTATCAGATTTCCCATCTTCATTATTGAGTTGATTTTCTGGTAAATGTCGTTCTAAGAAATGTCATAATCTTACAATCATTACCAACTCTACAACTTAATATTACTGTTTGTTCAAGAAAGTTCGAATGGTTTTCTTTTTCATCGTTCTTTGCCCAACACTAAATTATTTGGGGTGTATACAAGTAAAGGCAGGTTTTTAGAGAAAAAACCCTCAAGGGGTAGAATGGGAAGTAAAATAAATGTATTTGGGGGAAAAGAAATTTACTATCACACTAAGAAATCAGGATGCAATTCTGCTAATATATCAGCACCCTCTGCCAAATACTCGTAGGTGGATGAGAATATGCACCCCGATTGCACCCTTGTTTGTTAGTAGGTAGTTCAGGGAATAGAAGGAATGGATACTTAATGAAAACTCCTTTAAGCATACTTATAAACATTATGAAGACATTAAGATCGCTAATACTTAATGTATAGACAAATATTACATTAATGATTAGCCAGTCAGTCAGATGCTTTTTCATATTATGAATGTACACATATAAATGAAGATGATTACATTTGTCTTTGTAATGAATACATTTTCTTTGAAATTCGAAGTTCAAGACTCCATATTAATAGTGTATTTTCTCTTTCTCCTTTCCCTTTCTCTCCTAACCGTAGACTGTATCCAGTGAGATGCGTCGAGAATGTAAATGCCACGGGATGTCGGGGAGTTGTACCATAGAGACATGTTGGATGAGACTACCAACCTTCAGAACGGTGGGTGAGCTCATCAAAGAGCGTTTCGACGGCGCCTCCCGCGTCACCATGAGAAATGACGGCAGTCCGAGCGACCGCGAAACCGAATCAAGCTTCGTGCCTTACAACCCATCTCACAAGCAGCCAGCCTCACGAGATCTGGTGTATTTCGAAAACTCGCCTGATTTTTGCGAGCGGAATGATAAGTTCGGCACGCCCGGAACGAGAGGGCGGGAATGCAACGCCACGTCACTGGGCGTGGATGGGTGCGATCTTATGTGCTGCTCGAGAGGGTCTACGACAACTGAAATCAAGGTCAAAGAGAGATGCAGTTGCACGTTTCATTGGTGCTGTAAAGTAAAATGTGAAGAGTGCACGTCGTTTCGGACCGTGCACAGATGCTTGTAGTCAAGGGAACCATGTCTGGTTTCCATGCAGGAGTACCAGGCGTGATGAAGAACTTGGTAATGACTGAACTGAGGTGCAGTATGAAATCTTGACTTCTACATGAAATGGCACTTCACATCAAAGGACTCGTGAACATTCGAAGATATTTCGAATCTCGATGGGCAGGCTATTGTTTTGATATAAATTATCAAATAATCAATATAAATGTTTCCTGTCCATCAATAGCCTGAAATACGTGATTATGAATGAAACCTTCTACACTTTGTTATTTAAGATCACTTAAATGAATGGTCATTTTGCAGCGTGTACGCAATGAGTTGGACTCTGTTCATGTCGTTTGGCAAAGGCACGTAGAGCGCAGACGTATATCAACAGCTGATTGGCTGGAAATCCATGTCACGTGACATTCTGTTCAAGCAAATCGAAGAAAAGCATGCACAAATGGAAGACGCCATAATTATTACCCGCATCGCTCTCTCAATATCACTCTCTCTGCTGTGGATTCACTTATGAAGCTAATAGTATATAATTGCATGACAATGTATCTAAGATAGTTATTATTTATGATGAATTTGTTTGCATACTTGAATTGCTTCCTTGTTTATGTTTATATGTGTATAAAGTGATTACTGCAGAGCAACGTGGAAAGGGAACGGTTCAAGTATACGTGATTTTATGTGGTACTACAGTACTAATGATAAAAAGAGTAAACTTGGGAGAATCCTTAGTATGACGAATACGAATACATTTTAATTGACAATTCAATCACGTTTCCAATCAGAATCAGAAAAAATGGTAACTGTTTCGGGTTATGATACTAAAATTAGTCTTTAGAGACGCTGTTATTCCGTGATTGTTCCGAGTAACGGCATGATGAATACATAGTGTAGGTGCTTATTATCACTTTGCCATGTTGGTAAATAGTGTTATATATTTCCCTTTGAGTGGTGATGATATATTTTAATTTTGGAATGAAATATCTTCGTATACAACATCTTTGTGACAACAAACACTCTCATCATCTTAGAGAGATTATATAAATTTGTTTAAGAAATGATATAGGTGCCAATGTTATCCTATATAGCTTCTTACACGGTGTGTAAGAATCGTTTTGTCGTGGTATTTTATTCTTACAACTTTCATTGAAATGTGTGCTAATGTTAATGAATATACAGAGCAGTATTATCACTTTGTTATTTTGTAAACCCAAATCAGAAATATTTCCTTTTCTGGTGCTGATAATGGAGCTATTTAGAAAGAAATTTAAATGAATTGCCAAATATTATACAATTATTTCAGAGATGAAACGGTCCATACATAATTAACAACAAATACAATGGTTGGTACAAAACATGTGACTACCGGTTATTCTAATCATTATGAAGTGTTATCAAAAGAAAATGGAAACGCTGAGGAAGTTGTATGACATTTTGTCTGGATCATGATTATCTGAATGCGTCATAATATGCTGTTTTTAATATTATTGAAATCATTCATAATGGCTACATATATATTTGAATGCATCTTATTTGATTTCAAACACAATAACTCTCTTTTGTTACGATATGAATAAAGATACATTTTTAATTCAGTTTCCTTAATAACGGTATCCAGCCTAAATGCGCGTCTACATAGGAGTCACATACATTACATAGCCACCTAGTCTTTTGTACCAAATTACACATCTGAAATGCTAAACTAATGATATAAAACGACAACTTTTTGACTATTAGAATTCTTGAATATAGCCTTAATAGCACTGGCCCATTAAAATATAGATAGTCAGATATGAAATTAATGCTATAGCTTTCAGAGGTAAGATTTATCAATGTTTATCAATTAATGTGTCATGTGATCCAGTTTTAATTATGCTGCAAGATATTAATGTGTGTACCTTTCCCTATTAACTAAATAGACACCTTGTGATGAAAAATAAACACACTTTTCTGGGCTAAATATATATAGCATATCGTCCCCATATATGTCAAATTCAAACTTACTCCACCATAACATTTTATTTATTTGAAACGTGTAAGCCATTGTTGATATGAGGTGGATTTGTCATTTTCAATTTTTTTTTAATGAAATTCATTTAACAGTATTAAAAAAAAATCCCCATTTAGTGACTGTTAGACAAGCCAAAAGATGAAATACTTATCGAATTATTATACCGAATTCGTCTTATGTAATGTAAAATGTATTCGATTTGTGATTATTTTGTATTGTATTATGGTGTATATAGTTTACACAAGGCTGATGAGTGAAAGTTGAATATATATTTTCGTAAAGAGTTCTTTTTATATTTGTCATATTGCTTTTACACGTTGTTTTCGCATCATAATGATAAAGGATGCATACCGATAAAAGAAAATGTGAAACAAACAATAAAATATTAGAAAAACGTACTGTGTGCAAGTTTATAAACCATAATGAGAATAAGTGCTGAAAATATTGTAAATATTTGTATGAGAAAAAAGAACCACTTGCCGGTTTGTGAAGCATTAAATATGCGATTGAATACTAACAAATCGATTTTGTATTTCTCTTTTTTTTAACATAGCTGAACGAGAAAGACTTGAAAGGAATTGTAGTAGGCTTTTAAATAATTTAAGTTGTAAACGAGGGAGAGAGTTAAAGAGAAAGAAAGAGATGAAGAAAGAGAGAGAGAGAGAGAGAGAGAGAGAGAGAGAGGGCAGGAAGAGGAGTGGGAAGCGCAAAGGGAAGAAAGTTTTATGAATAAAAGTAGAATGATTAGATTTACAAAGATGCGGACAACATGAATTTTAATGAGAGAGATTCTGACAAGAAAAGTAAACTCTGGGTAAAAAAATGAGACAATGAGGCCAAAATGAAGAGAGAGAGAGAGAAAAAAAGAGAGAGAGAGAGATAATGATTGAGAGAGAGGGGGAGGGGTGGGAATGAGAGAAGGGATTTTGGGAGGAAGGGGAGGAGAGATGCTTAGATGAAGAAAAGTGAAGTAGACAGACAAATTATAAAGAAAAGAATAAATATAATAATTTGAAATGAGACATATGATTATTTCAAGAGTCAAGAAAAAGACAATCACGTGGCAAAATGAAATTGTAAGAAAAAATTATTGTTTGAACTTTATACTATCTCATCTTCCATAGGCCATCTTCTAAATTAGGTCCAGACCTTATTATTTCTGTGTATGCTTCATACATGAAAAAACACTGAACACACTGCGACATAATAATGCTAGCCTTACTTATATAGGGCTATCCAAATTTAGCCGTCAAGGAAGTTAAAGTATCAAGCTCATAATGGCATCATGTCAAATTTTGGCGTCAAAATAAAATCTCAACTACACCTCAAAATAAACAAATAAACTAATGGCAACTATCCACAAGTCTTATCCTAGACTTTATTTTAATTTCATGTCTTTTCTAGGATACAGATATCATATTCGTCTCATTTTTATCTCCTGATTTGATTTTTCTCCGTGTCTCGGCACTGCCCTGGACTGTAGCCAAGCAGCCAGCGCGTTCTATGATGAATCACGAGGATGGCGGCGAAAGAAGGCAAGCTTAAAAGAAAGAGAGTTAAACAGAATTGGGTAGCTATGCAGTATCAGCTCGCAGACGTTAGGAAAATAATGGCTGGCGGCGAGGAACAGAAAATCATGTAATTAAAAACCTCAAGACTTCCCCCCTTTGGAGACCAGAACTTGACCTCTGAAAGTGCATCCTCGTGTTGAACGCTAATTAAATGACAAGTTGAACAACTTGGAGGTTGTCCTAAAACTTGAGGAAGATCTCCCAAGAGAAAAGGCCGTTGGAAAGAGATATGACTTACTGAAGATAGGACGAAGAGTCAGTCCCTTCAGGCTTAGTAGGAGTCTTAAACCCATTCTTACCAATTTGTTGTTTTTCCCACTTTGAATAATGTCTTGTAAAACCTAATTTCCATAATCGTCGAGAATTAAGAACACTGCCTGTATACATGACTTTGCAGAATTTCAGTAAAGGTCATCATCATCTTTTCCGAATGTCAGGACTTAAGGTCAGTTCCATACTCTTATGGCATTTTGTCCAAAGTCATACATTTTTTGAAGAAATTAGAACAATTTATTCTTGAGACAGTCAGGAATGTATTCAACCAATAACTCACTTTGAAAGTTTATTGATGACTCCAGACTAAGAGAAGCGAAAGGAGGGGGGGGGGGGTGGTTGGTAATAATATCTATAATTGACATTTTCAACGAGTATAAGTATAATGTCTTATAACAAGGATAATAATATTCCGCTTTTATATAGCGCTCAATACATCAATCTATGATGTGTCTAAGCGCTTTACAGATATATTATTACCCCGGTCTTCAGATTCAAGATAGCATAGGTTGTATAGGGTTTGTAACAGACTATATTGGTAAAACGCTTAATACAACTTGGAACTATACATAAAGAACTAATTGTCATCAAATGAATTCGATTTCGATAAAGAAATTTTATATTTTTACTTCGAGAGCATAAATGGTACATCACTTCTGTGACTGATGTTGATTTAATTTTGTTTTGGTAATAGTAACTGTAATAATGATCTAATTCAACTCATAAAGTACCCATGGGGAAACTTAATACCTAACTTGTTTATATTTTATTTTATTGCAATTTTTAACAATGATTTGATTGGTGTGGAAATCAGGAAATAAAAACAGATACAGCGAAAAGAGAAGCATAATAAAAATACAGACATTTGAATAAAGAAAAGGAAGGTGATAATTTGTCAAAAGTAGAGAGACAAAGTTATGAACAATTTCCTTCACAAGTAATGCAACCAGATTTATCCTTCCTTGAGTAAAGGGTAATTTCTGTGATTTTTTCCCCCACGAACAGTTTTGATGGCGCTCTTTCACTTGGGACAATAAATTAATAGAGAGCACCTCTCTCTCTCTCTCTCTCTCTCTCTCTCTCTTTTCTCTCTCTTCCTTTATCTCCCTCCTTCCCTCTCTCCCTCCCTCCTTTCACATATTTCTCTCACAAGTACTCAAAAATCACAAACAGTTCTTTCTTTTTTGTTTGTTATAAAATACTCAAAAATTATATGCATATGACAGGTCTATGAGGGCGCTACAACGAAGCAAGAATTAGATGTCCTTTTATAGGGACACTAGCAAAAATATTACTACCAAATCGAACACATTAGCATACCCACAAAATAGCAAAGAAGGACACGTAATAAGGAGGGGGGGGGGGGCTTCACAAGAATGACAATCCAGCATTTAGCTTCTCCTAAAACGTGTTTTTCTACATTGTTCCTTATACCAAAACGACCGAACCAAAATGTGTTGAATGAATTTTTAAATCTCAGTATTTGAAGTATTCAACCATTTTTGTTTGTGAAAGAGCGCCCCCATTTCAATAACGGTTTGTGCATGAGATTTGTAACCAATGAACACGTTACCTGAAGCTAAAAGAAAACCAGTACCTCCTCTTATTAGCTATTGTAGTAATACTGTCACTGCTGATATAATTCTACTACTACAACGGCTGCTACTAGTACTTCTACTACTACTTCTACTGCTACTACTACTACTTAACTACTACTACTACTACTACTACTACTACTACTACTACTACTACTACTGCTACTTCTGCTGTTGTTACTATATACTAATACGACTACTCCTACTACTCCTGCTTCTACTACTCGATCCTACTACGACTACTACTACTACTACTACTACTACTACTACTACTACTACTACTAATAATAATAATAATCCTACTTCCACTACTACTACTACTACTACTACTACTACTACTACCCTTCCCCCCTCCTCCTCCTCCTCCTTCCTTCTCCTCCTCCCCCTCTACTACTACTACTTCCTCCTCGTCTTATTTTTTCCTCCTTTTACCACTTATACTTTCTACTGCTTCTAGATTTCTTCGTTTATGTATTTATCAATTTTGTTTGTGTTTATTTATCCTAATATTGCATGAGGTACATGCTCTAAAGCATTGTAGGTAGTGGTTAGCTGATTCATTAGTGATCTCCCTAACTGATGGCACTCTGTAATTTTTAAAAGTAAGTAAACTAGGTTTCATTCAGATTGTTTGAGGGAACTGCAAACATGTTAATCATGTCTGTATGACTCTCCTTTCTCTGTAAAAGTAACAAGACACACATATTTCTCACAAAATTATACACGTAACAATCTCTGTTTCTTAGGCTGAACAAAATTCATTTTATTCATTCACTTTTGGACAAAAAGCTCAGCCATAGGCTGGATATACTTCATACAAAGCTAACACATTACATGCGTTTCAATGCGACGGTGGATACAAAATTAATTACATAATTATAGTGAAGCTCAACGATGCAAAGCAGCTAAAACCGATCCAGGTCGGGACGAAATCACAAAGAAACTAGTAAGAAACAACCCCAAGGTTGAAAAAATGACATATTTTTGCCATTGATGTACTGACCATGTTAACACACAAATTGATAAAATGTATTTTTGGGACACATACAAGTTCATTAATTTACCAAAATTTGTTAACAATTGGGATTCCTTTCCGATTTGAAAGTTTGTGATACTCCTATACTTCCTAAACGTCAACTGCGAAATATGTCCAAGACTTCCACAAATGAAGTTTCGTTGCGATTTTAGGGGTATAGATTCCAACCGCTATCAGTGGTGTGCATGCTGTGCGCTCTGAGCTTAATAAAGTACATTCGATTCGGCACAAGATGTACAAACAATCTATAAACAAATGACCATAAATATATTTACAATAAAAAAAGTGATTTCACATGCAAAAATAACTCATTTATATATTCATCCTTAGCCAGATGAATATTATATAATAAGTTGAATACATAAAATAGCTGTACAATGTACATAATTGAATACGTCTTACATCTCCTTCTAAAAGGAAAATAAATGTAGACTAAATGTGTTTTCAGCCGCAATCGAATTGACTGTAAATAAGTTATAATTATAAATGTAGACGTCACAATCCTAACTACATTAGGTGACAAATAGAGTCTACGATAATACGAAAATGTTTGAATTATTGAGATATATTAAAAGTAAGTAATTCACATCATTTTGAATGTCTGGAAGTTTACAATTCAAGATTGTATTACAGTCGAGACAGCATAGGATAACATTGTTTAAAACACAATCACTAAATCATTCATAACCCCTTGTAAAATTGATGGTTTTTGTGTTTCATGAAAAGTTAACTGGTTGAATTAGCGCCTTTGTTGAATGCATTTAGATGTAAGCTTTAATATGACATAAAGCGGGACAAATACATTTTTCATATACATAACATTTTCAAAACTTGGTGGGGTATGAATTATTTAGCTCTTAGCGGTATATATATCCAACATGTATCAGTGCAACGGACCGGACCCATGGGTTTATATCTTAAGTATCATGGTGTATAACTTTCAATTTCAATCACATTTTAATTACATTGAACTGAGATACAACCACATGATATTTATCAAAGGTAGCGAATAAGCTCTTAATACATGTTACTATTCATTTCTTTGGTATGCAAATTCAAGGACGAAAACTGTTAGACGTTTATCAAAAACATGTCTAAAGACATGACGGAGACGACAACACTTCCTACCCACCCTAAATGAGACAAAAAATGTTACTCGTCCCTGTCATAAACCTCAGCGACACAACGTCATATAATTTTACTGCAAACATGCAATACTCATGGAATTTAGGTAATAATTGTTGTTTTTTCTTCTCCAGAACTCGATGTAGCTCTTTATTTATAAAGACTACTTTTAATATCTTGATTGATGACATCACATAAACTAGTTCTTTAAGTTTCCAATACATCTGTACGGTAGCCATGATGAAGGCAAAAGGTTGGAGTCCATTATTAAAGGGAACAGGAATTGTGCAATGACTAACTACCCTGGTCAGAGGGCGCCGTCCTAAGTGAGGACGTCCTCCAATCAAAATTGCATTTGGCAAATATATTTTTAGTCGGCAAAACTTTTGGCACTCTTTTCCAATGTCGGTAAATGTAAAGATTAGCGTATAGCTATTTTTTTTTCTCTATCTACATACTTGCTAGACTGATGCCCTTCACAAAGTATGGGTTATCAATGAGGAAATACAACATTTAAATAAAAACCTATTATATTGTTGGAAAATAGTTGTTTACCGAACATCACTATTATATTTATATCATGTAACTTTACATTTAAAGCACGGAAGACAATACGGCAGGAAAAATGGAGACTTTCTATTAAAAAAATTGATAATTCAAGAGTATTCTATAGATCGCACATACATGCAAAGGAAGAGGAACTTTCTGTTCTTTTCTTACATGCATTATCATTATTTCGTTCGTACATCAAATCGTGCGACAGTTCATGTGTCTTTTAACCAATTTGATTTTCTAAATGAACGAAGTACGTCAGCTTTTAGTTCACATCATTTCGAGACCCCGATGTCATCAAATTCGTTTTTCACTCCATTTAAATCTGTAGAAAATTCCATGAAATCAATGCATTTAACATCTCCAACTTTGGTCTCCAAATGGCACCTTTTTCGATGCGTTGTCTTCCGGACACATTCCTGGCCATCCAGTCTTTTAAAGGTCTACTGCTCTCTCGTTTACGCTCTGCAAAGATGTATCTCCTCACGCGTCGTGCAGCGTTGACAAATGACGTCACAGCACCAATGGAATCTGCACTGACACGCGCGTGTCACCATGACACTCCGAATATTGTATCCTCGTCCACAGCAGAGGCTATTACAGGTCCTAATCTTATCGCAAGTTCGTCCCCCAGTCCCCTCAGAATATTTACTCGGCGTGCAAAAATCCGGCGACTCTCTCTCGAAAACGAGATCGCCTGGCCCCGGCGACGTCGGCGACGTGAGCGAGTCGGGGTATATCTTTTCCTCGGGACGCGGCTGTCGTCTGCGTACGAGCTCGTTTTCACCGTCGGCACGGTTCGCAAGGATGACCTGAACACTTCGTTCGTATTTCTCTTTGAGATCTACACCGATGCTATGGAAAGGACCGAGCTGTTTCCAACACGTCTGAGTGGTGCATGCCCCTGAGATGCCGTGACATTTGCAGACCTTGTCAACCCGTCTTCGAACGGTCTGAAATGGTAGGGGGAAAGGTGAAAATGAAGAAAGAAAATAAATGTATTTACAAAAATTATATGAATAAAATTAAGTCATTGTCAAATCGAGTCACATAATGGATGATTATATTAAAATAAATCAGGCATCCGTTAACGCTGTACGTAGGACTAGGTGAACTGAAATGAATATGGAGGGTCGATATGCGCTAATTGACCTGTACATCGGTTTTTCCTCAACACAGGCAACAACAAGTGAATTTTAACATTTTATTTGGGAAGTTTTTTTCTACGGAATAGTGCCCATTTCATATAAATATTGAGGGGCCCAATTATTGTTATTTTTTTCCTTAAACACTGACGTCAGAGATTTGATGACAACCATCTTCATTCGGCATAAAAGTGATAAAGGGACATTACTGATTAAGTAGTCGCCATTTAAGTGGGAAAAATATATTAATGTTCGTCCTTTAAAAACTGTACCGACAAAGAGAGTATTATTTTTCAACATTTCTCTTTCATCTAACCGATTATTTAAAACAACAAACTGCTTGTTTTGGATGTCTTGAAGTTCACTAACACAATTCACTCTGATATCACACAAGGCATGTAATTATCATGTACACCGTAAATTTCATTTTGACTAACAATCATCATGGAATCTTGCATATTGAGGGGAAATATAACAACTTACTTATGGCGTATAAGTTCTGATTGGGATACATATCCTATTTTCACTGGTGTCATGAAATGTTGGTAAATTGTATTCATAATGATGAGAAACTAGATAAATTGTAGCAACTTAAATATCCTTTGGAAATTCATTTTTCATTTCGTATAAACATGAAGAACTACGTTATGAAATCGAAATTTGCTTAAGCAAATGACCGGCAGTAACAATATAACTTCATCGAATTCATGAAATTTTGACTTTTAATCTCTTTCCGATACTGATAATAATACTACCACCAAACTATAATCACTGCTCTTATGTTTAGTATTATGATTAAATCATTATGAACCATTGTTTTTAATAATCTCACTCTCACTGTCGTAATATCTATATTTTAATAATTATTCATATTCAATATCATTAAGACTACAGTGTACTGATTGATTACAGGCAGCAAGCTATCATGAGAGGTAGGCTAGACGTCACCTGATAAACATAGGTCAAAGGTCATGTGATAGACAAAATGAGATACAACCTGACCCATATAGATGACCCCTAATGTCATTCAGAGGCGAGGTTTCCTGTCGCTATTGTGACATTTACGCATCAAGCTCATGTTTGAAGCCCAAACAATGTTGTTTTTTCAATGTTGATGTTGTTGTTGTTGTTATTCTTTTTGTTTCTTTTTGTCTTCATTGTAATTGTTGTTGTTTCATTTAAAATATTGTCATGGTTCCAGAGTAAAGTCGGGTAACTATAGTCAGAGACTCAGAGTGTAAACACAGTGTAACATTTTTAGTAATCCATTCTTCATGAAAATGATTAAAGACATGAAATCAAGAGCGTACCACGATTTTGTTTAAAGGCCGTCTGTACTAGTTTGGCTAGGAGGGATTAGACCACCCCCCCCAGGAAGGTCACTGACAGGTGGCTATCTCATCAACTCAGCTCTCAATAATACATAAGAAAAAGGGGACCATGGGAGACCAATGGTCACCGATTAACCATTGTTTTCTATATAGAGGGAGCAAGTAGCTACAAGTAGTACAGTGGGCCTTTAAAAAAGAGGGGGGGGGGGTACAATCCCACAATTACATGATTGAGGGTATACCAGTTGTGTTCCAAATGGATGGGGCCGGGGAAGGGGCAAATGCGGGGTTTGGCCCATTATACAAGCTTAAATCACCACTGCAAAGGCAATAACATTATATCTCACCCTTATTCCAAGGTCACTGTTGTGTCTCTCCATCTTACTTCTAAGATCTCTACTTCCACTCGATCTGTTCTTTAAGAAGTCTTTGAGGAACCTTTGGCTGTACTTGAGGTTATCCCCACACCCTCCCCATTTCCATGCTTCCCGGTTGGCCTCGGCGCTGAAGCTGACATCGTCACACGAGCATCGATCTAGCGTCCCACGACTGCAGCCCTGGGCGATGGCGTGGACGAGTCCCGCTGAGCTGATCGCGGAGAGGAACGCTGTCTCCTTCATACCTGAAAATGATATGAGGAGAGAGATTGAGGGAGAGAGAGAGAAAAAAAAATGATTAGATACGAATCGACATTGTCACCCATTATCAATGGTTAATATTCTGTATTACACATCTGGCCTTTCAAGGCGAATGGGAAAAGCAAGCAGAAGAAGTTGAGGAGGAGTGGAAACATTAAGCGATTGAAGAACCCCACCACGTAATGTGCCACAGCGAATTACTGAAATTCGATTGTCCATCCACCAAAGGTATGAAGAGTGAAGAGAGGACCATGGTACGTCAGAGAAGTGGTGGTACAGATATGAAGAGGGGCGGGAAGGGATGGGGTGATAAGTCACAAGAAAGAGGTGCTTTTGAGAGAGAATGAACGAGGGGGAGGTTGTCGGGCAAAATCTGCTGATATTTTCAACAAAAAAGTTATCATATTTTTTAAGTTACTGACAAGGTAAAACAAATATTTTAAGATTTCCTAGAGATCCGATTTTTTAAAGGATTTACAAACAAAATTCAAATTTGACAGAAAAATTCTATTGCGGGAGGGTGTTACCCCATACCCCCTTTACTTGCGCCTCTCAAGGAAGAGCCGTTGAAACCTCACGTAGATCAAAAATAACACAAACATCTGTCAAGATTCAACTAGCTATGTCTTCATCCTGACATGAGGTGGAAAACAACTCGAAATATATGCAACAGAAAGAGTTTAATGCTGTCCAAACAACAACTAATTCATCAAATATTTCAGGTATAAGTGATCTCATGAATGTTCGCACTGCCGATTATTTTTCACTCCGATAAAAAGCGGTGTCGTGATGAAGTCCTGGATTGTGACGGCGATTTGGAAGATATTGGTGTGAGGATGTTAGGCAAAGTATCACAATTAGCCATTCATTAATGCAAAGTATTGGTTGAGGATATATCGTACACGACAGTTGTCTTTCTTCGAGTTATATTTGTTATTATCTGCATGCTGATTAAGGAAAGAAAGAGTACTTTGTGCTTGCAGCGGTAGCCTTCTTGGGTGTGGCACAGAAAGGGGGTGTCCATACTACAGGTTAACAAGACGCCGGCAGTCGGAATAGGTTGGTAGAGGCTTTACTGCTAAAGGCGAATTCAAATGGAGAGGATTTGAACTTGGTTGGACTGACTGGCGTCAAGTTAAGTCAACGTCATTCAACGAATGACAGATTTATGATGATGACTAGCGATGAGGGAGGGGAATGTAACACTGTTCCGCACTTCAAAGTGCTGAAAATTTACCTCCGTGTCCGCAGGGCTACTTCCCGCCTTTCTTCAAAATTTCTCCAAGTTCTACCTGTAAAATGGACGATTGCGTGCACGCGTAGTTTTAGGTAGTATGACTATTTTGTCTGAAAGTGTGGTATGTGCAGTCCACTTTCCCTTGATTTTTTCGTTGACTAAGTTCGTTTCGAGCCCTCGAGCAAATAATACTTAAATTTCAAAATCACCACAATTTGTTTGCCGGATGGTCCAAACAAATTTCAAGCCAGTTCGGTATTTGATCACAAATCTCAAAATCTTGAAATAGTAAAGTTGTTTGGGCGCTGATATACTGATGGGGTGATTATTGGTTCGAGCCCCGTCACTCTTTGCCCAGTTGTGCAATGAGTAAAAGCCTACCTAATATTTTTGGACATGTACTGTGCGCTGATATCATTAATTTTGGCGGAGCTAAAACCAAGGCTAAAACCAAAGCACTTTGAGAGCGCATCGTTGACGTTATTGGGTCTTAAACAAAACAGAATATTGTTCTCAAGCCTACTTCATTGAAAATAAGTTCTTTTTTACAATACCGTTGTGCAAGAGGATTAATTAATATGGAAGAAGAAATTAATGCTAAATATATTACTCATTGCGAATATAGAATCGAAAATATTATCGCTAGTGATAAATTGTGAACAATCTTAACCACTTACAAAGCACCAACCATTGGCGGTTTTGGTTGAATCTGATGGGGGACGAAAAACCCAAAGTGTGCATGGAGTGCAGCAGATAAGGCTAGCTAGGGCGGAAAGAGTTTCGATGCCCCCTCCCAAACTTAAACCTTGCGTGACCCTTGACGCCAAATTGCGCGTGAAGGTTTCGATGAAAGATGAAACAAATTAGAAATACGTGCCAGAGAAATAGAAAAACGACAGCCACTGATGAAATGACATTTTAATGGACCCTCGCTACTGCTCTTTCTTCCACTCCCTCCTCTCTCCCACTCTCTCTCTCTCTCTCTCTCTCTCTCTCCCCCTTTCTCTTCCACACATCTTATACCCCTATAATTCAAATCACTTTACATTTCACGCTCTCCTTTCGTATATCACCCACTTTTATAAGTGCAACTGGAGTGGCGTTTGTACGTCAATTGGCTGAATTGTTAAATACACTTTGAACCCGATTCTGATTTCAGATCCGGCTATTTCTAGATCTAGCCTTGTGATAGGCTGCCGCTGGTACATGAAGTAAAATTCAAATTGTATACCCTTTCTCCTCACTGGATGTTCCTAAAGTTTCCACTTCCCTTGAGTTCTATGACCTGTATGCCAGATCCGTAAATCATACCCTAGGCTCGGTTTCTTACTTTCTTAATTTAATTTCAATGATATTACTAACAGTTAATAACGCTCTTCTGCTTCTCAACAAACGGCACAAGGTATCATCAATCAAACTCAATTCGGAATCTATGTATTGTTTCTGACCTGTATTTACCTCCATTTTTTAAATTAAACATTATATCCCTTTTGAATATCAATTTCATTATAAACATCCTATACGTTACATGAATACCTACAGAAATACCTACCTTACCTACATTACTACACTCATAAGGCCAAAAAAAAATCATTTGGTTGTCCTCGACCGCCCACTCGTCATTTTCGGGCCGCTCGTATTTTTATTTATTTATTTATTTATTTATTTATTTCTTTTTCTTTTTAAATATTTTTTTTTTTTTTTTTTTTTTTTTTTGGGGGGGGGGGGGGGGGGGAGCAATCTTAAATGCCAAACATACCATTTATGCATTTGCACGGATCAAAATGCGTCCCGTTGCCAGTTTGGTCTTTTCAGTACGCATTTCTGTATTTATTAAACTTGCCATTTTTATTTTTCTATGTCAAAATGCCGTTCATTCAAATCAGGTTCTGAGCATTCTTAAACTCATTTTAAAGCCCATCTGTACTAGTTTACAGGAGGGATTAGCCCACCCTGCAAGGTCACTGGACATGACTGTGGTTATCTCATAAAATCAGCTCTCAGTTAACATAAGATAAAGAGGATCATGGGGGAGCAATGGTCACCGATAAGAGGGCACAAGTAGCTATAAGTAGTACAATGGAGATTTAAAAGGTGCTGTATTTCAAAGCCAAAAATACTTTCTGTGTTAGTCTTGATATTCATTGTACATTAAACTCGTCTTTTACAATATTAAAGTGTTTTATAGACTTGGTATGCTTAAATGCTTGACATCCCAATGATTTTTTTTTTTTCATGGAAAAAAAGTTATTAAAAAAAAAAAAATGGGGGGAAAAAAAAGACACACACAAAAAAAAACCCACAAAAAATGAAGTTAAACAAACAAAATTAAAATAATGCGCTCGCTCGATCCTACTCCAGAAAAGGACAATCGAGGACAACCAAAAGTTTGTTTTTGTTTGGCCTAAGCCTACTGTATAACACTCATAAAGCTGATATCAATTTATTTGATATTGTGTAATAATTTGATTGTAGCATCTACATTGCTTTTCATTTATTTATGTATCAGACTCTACAGTTTCATTGTATACATAGTTAATGATCATCATCATCATTAGGCCTACCAGCGGAATCTACTCTCGAATTCATAACAAATTTTTAAAAAATGATTTAAAAAAATAAGGAACGCTTCACGATTGTGCGTGTCATCTTTGTGCAAGGGGCCATGCTAATCTTCTCTGTATCGTTCCAATTTTAATAGGTGTCAACAATTTCTTGTCGACATGAACTTCTGTGGGAAACCTAGTAAATATAGGCATTTGTGCACATATCGCTAAAAATATAGTTAATACTTTGTGCCACCCGTTGTCCAAAACGTTTACAAAACGTTTTCTTAACTATGGGCTTATACGTATCACGTGCACGGATCACGTGATTTTGATTTCCCATCACACATGACACTGCCAGATAGTGCACCAAGCACCATTTTTTAAATACCCCCCCCCCCAAACAGGGGTGACATTATTTCTACGGTTGTTATGTATCTATTAGTATTTTTATTTGTATTGGAAGAAAAAAATACAAGTTCAGGTATATAATAACTTGGAGTGCATAACTCTAGTCCCCTTTGCTCTTGGGTTCGGCGTGGCAAAAAAAGTTGCAGGTCAGTCACTTCTGTTTGGCACTACTCATTGCATATTAATATATATATATATATATTACATATATATATATATATATATATTATTAGAAAATCATTTTAATGCACAGTTGTCTAACTAAGGAATAGAGGTCTAGCCTTACAACCCCCCCCCCCCCCATTTTATCATTTTAGTGTTACAAGCATTTGAATAAATATATCTGAATTAAATCGCGCTTCAATGAGCTATATGAGATAATCGTTATATTCTGTACGACTCTCGAATTTCCATTGTTGAAAGGTTACATTTTGTTTTAGGAGTGAACGTATACTCGAGGAGAGCATGGCCAGTGATTCACTCTCCGAACATGTGTTACAAACATTCAGTCAGCGTCTCCTAAATTCTTTGTTTTGTAAGATTTGACCGTCGGCAATCACTTGGCTTGACCAATGACTCAAATAGACGTATGGACATCTGCCAAACCAACAAACGATAGAGACAGATAAATATATAAACAGATATATAGATCGAAAGCTTAGACAGAGAGACGGAGAGAGAGAGAGAGAGGCAGGCAGACAGAAGGAAAGAGAGACTGAAAAGAGAGAATGTAAGAGATAGAAATATATGAATGTAATAGGATCGAGGAAGAGTTGCAGAACTTGGCGGA